GCTTCCTGTAGTCAGCCCCTGGTCAGTTTCAGCAGCAGCGGCTGAATCTGGAGCCAGTTCCGACTTACATACAAATTCAACTTAAGAACAAACCTATAGTCCCTATCTTGTACGTAACCCGGGGACTGCCTGTTTTTACAGAAAACAGCAAGGTAGGAAAGATGCATCCCTGAGTACACTGTAAACCTGGATGAAAATGGGAGGAATTTCCAGATAGAGTAAAAGCACTTTTTTTTTTTTTTTTTTGATTAGCAGGGAAGTTGACATTTATAGTGGCATGAGTAACAACCACTACATAGTTTTCTGGCCCATGTATTAAAAAGTAATACTTCTGCTGTATGCATTTGCGTGAAATCCTAAAACCAGGTGTTTTAAAGGCCTTAATTCCTCATCTCCTTTTCCATGTGTAGCTTATAAAGGAGGCCAAACAGTGTTTTAGTTTTTTTTACCCACATTTCTTAACTACTTGGTTTATCTTAAACATAATATTCCTCTTGGTCTTTGGAAAAATGGAGGACTGGAATAGGAATTTTCTTAGACATTAAATGAAGGCTCAGAATGTTGTCTTCAATAAAATCACACAAGCTCATAATTCTGTGTATTATCATCTCTAAGGTGCCACAGTCACAGGACTTTTAAAGTTACAGATTACCCTGGCTACCCCTCTGAGAATTAATTAGATAATTCCTTCTAACTCTGTTTAAAAAAAAAAAAAAAAGACACACATACTTTAAAAAAAAAATCTTTTTATAATTCAGTTTTACACTGCCTGACTTAGGGATGTAAAAGAGTACAGGGGGCCCCCAGCTTGTGACGCATTCGGTTCCTGGGGAAGCGTTGTAACTCGAATCCTCATTTACAGTAGGTGCCATGTGCCGTCGTAAATGCGGACCAAGGACGTAAGTTGGGAATTTTCAGCCCCTTCCACACTTACAAAAATGGTTGTTAGTACAGGGGCTCGGAACTCAGGCGGTTGCATGTTTGGGGGTTTCCTGTAGTCAAGTTGACTACTTGCATTTCTCCTCCCCTTTGCTGCCTCTATATCATAGGCAGCAAGGGGAGGGGGAAACAGGAGTCAGTGTTGGGGGGAGCCTGCTTTAAAGTTGGCTCTCCCCCAGCACCATCTTTGCAGTGCCGCTTGCCTCCGTGAAAAGAGGTTGCTCCAGCAAAAGCTCCTGTCCACATTGGCTGGGGATGGTCGCAAACAGAGGCTGTGCTGCAGCAGCTTCTGACCGTGGGGGGAATCCCAGATTGCCACTTGCACCCCATGGACAGAGGCTGCTGGACCTGGTACAAGCCAGGACTGAGCAAGCCTGGCTCAGTCCCAGCTCATGCCAGGTCCTGGAACTCCCCCCGCTGTGACTCTGCAGTTTAAATGTAGTAAGTACTACATTTAAACTGCTGAGCCTCAGTAGGGGTAGCGCCTTCTGAGTACCTTCCCAAATTGAATAATTGTGCAGTTTATACAATTACCTGCCTCTTAAATCCTTAGTCTGACTAGCAGCACTTTTATCTCTTTGTTCTCCTGGTTTCACTTGTCAACTTATTCATAAATGATCTGGAGAAAGGGGTAAGCAGTGAGGTAGTAAAGTTTGCAGATGATACCAAACTGTTCAAGGTAGTCAAGACAGAAGCAGACTGTGAGGCACTCCAAGAAGATCTCACCAAACTGAGTGATTGGGCAACAAAATGGCAAGTGAAATTTAATGTGGATAAGTGTAAAGGAATGCACATGGGGGGAAAAATAACCCCAACTATACGTACAGTATGATGGGGGGCTAATTTGGCTACAACAAATCAGGAAAGAGATCTTGGAGTTATCGCGGACAGTTCTCTGAAAAGTTCCACGCAGTGTGCAGCGGCGGGCAAAAAGGCAAATAGGATGTTAGGAATTATTAAGAAAGGGGTAGAAAATAAGGCCCAGAATATCTTACTGCCCTGTATAAAACTATGGTACGCCCACATCTTGAATATTGTGTACAGATGTGGTCTCCTCACCTCAAAAAAGATATTTTGGCCTTGGAAAGGGTTCAGAAAAGGGCAACTAAAATGATTAGGAGGGGTTAAAGAGACTGGGACTTTTCAGTTTAGAAAAGAGGAGACTGAGGGGGGATATGATAGAGGAATATAAAATCATGAGAGGTGTGGAGAGGACTGATAAAGAAAAGTTATTTATTAGTTCCCTAAATGGAAGAACTAGAGGACACCAAATGAAATTAATGGATAGCAGGTTTAAAACTAATAAAAGAAAATGCTTCTTCACACAGCGTGTAGTCAACCTGTGGAACTCCTTGCCAGAGGAGGCTATGAAGGCTAGAACTATAATTGAGTTTAAAGAGAAGCTAGATAATTTCATGGAGGTTAGGTCCATAAAAGGCTATTAGCCAGGGGATAAAATGGTGTCCTTGGCCTCTGTTTGTCATAGGCTGGAGAGGGATGGCAGGAGACAAATCGCTTAATCATTGTCTTCGGTCCACCTTCTCTGGGGCATCTGGTGCTGGCCACTGTCGGCAGACAGGATGCTGGGCGAGATGGACCTTTGGTCTGACCCAGTACGGCCGTTCTTATGTTTATTGGTATTTTCAGTTTCCCATGGGATATTTTTGGCAAAACAGGCAGCACCTGAATTTCTAGTATTCAAAAAAACCCAAAAGAGAACTTTCAGGCCTGTTGGATACATACCAAGAATGCATAACAGGGAACAAGTTATTTTTTTTTATTTGTCTTTACCGCGTAGCTCTGTGTTAATTTTCTTCAAAAGTCAAACCTACATGTGGTATTTGCATGAGGTATTACTACAGTCATTACTGTAGCTCTTGAATGCCATCAGCATAACAATAACATTTTGAGTCCATGATCTATCTTAAAAATTTACAGAGTGAGATACAGAACATAATGGACAGTTGAAACTGATGGATACTCAACAGTTACTCAATTAACTCATTGAGTGATGCTTACCTGTAACCAGTTAACTGATGGCACAGTCAGGCTGGAGCAGCTCTCAACTGTTGACACTGCTCCAGCCCAACTGGGTCTACTATGTTGTGCTGGGGGGTGCTGCTGGGCTGAAGCAGTTTCCTGCCCACAGTGGGCCTAGCCCAGCCGGAGCACTCTATGCCCATGGCTCAGCAGGCCTGGCCTGGACAGGGCCCCCTCTGTCCATGGCATGGCGCAGCAGGCCTGGCTGGAGCATGACCCACGGTGCAGTGGATCTGGCCTGAACAGCCTGGTTAGTCCTGCCACGCCACGCCATGGTCTCCCACCTGTGGGATCCTGGTTAACTAGGATTTTACATGGCTAGTTACATATAATGCGATGGAATTGTAATAAGGACTGTGAAACTGGCTCTTGCAAACAAATTTATTAACCAGAAATCCTTACCTAAAAGTTTGACTGGATAAGGTGTAGTATGCAACTAAGAAAAGAAATTACTCTGTAGTAAACAAGAAGGGTGTATTCTATAGTCTCAGAATGCTTTGTGTTCATAAACATATGTAAATATATAAATAGTATTTCCCAAAATAATTTCTACTGATGCTAAACTTTAAAGATTCATTTGTAGTTAAACTGTTGTGATCCTTATTCTCACTTATTCTACACATAATGAGGAAAATCAAGGTGTGTGGTCAGTTGAGACTTGCAAAATATGCAATCTATTAGGTTTGAATTGTTATCTGTGCTGGATCTGGTACAGACTAGGGAAGAGCTGGTCCCAGGCTGCACATCCTATGAAGTGCACATTGCTGCACATTGAGTGGATGTATTCAGAGAACTATGCAAAATGACTCCAAGATCTCTCTTGAGTGGTAATAGCTAATTTAGTCTCTATTATTTTGTACATATCGGCAGGATCATGTTTTCCAGTATGCGTTTATCAACATTAAAATTTATCTACCATATGGTTGCCCAGTCACCTAGTTTTGTGAGATCCTTTTGCAGCTTCTCAGTCTGTTTCGGATTTAACTGTCTTCATCAGAAGGTCAATATCTATAAATTTTGCCACCTCAGGCTTATGTCTACACTGCTGAGCTATTTCAGGAGACCAGAGGTATCCCAAAATAGCTATTCCACATCTTTTGAGCATGCCTGTTTCAGAATATAACAGGCTCGCTATTCCTGTGTCCCTGTAAACCTCATTCTATGAGGAGTAAGAGATGTTTTGGAATAGCAATTTTATTTTGAAATAAGTGCTGTGTAAACAGTATCAAATTTTAAAATAAGCCGTTTTGAAATTGACTCGAAATATGCGTATTTCAAGCTATGGGTGCAGTGTAGATGCACCTTCAGTGTTTACCTCTTCCTTCAGATCATTTATGAATATGTTGAATAGGGTTGATCCCAATACAGACCCCTCTTTCCATTCTGAAAACTGACCATTTATTCCCAACCTTTGTTTCTCATCTTTTAACCTCTTCTCATGACAGCTTACTTTGCTTAGAGCTTTTGGTCAAAGAGTTTCTAGAAATCTAAGTACACTAGTATCTACTGGATCCCCTTTTGTCCACATGCTTGTTGCCCCCCTCAAAAAACTCCACTAGACTAGAGAGATATGATGAAACCATGTTGACTTCCCCAAACAAATTATGTGTTTAACAATTCTGTTCTTTACTGTAATTTCAACCACTTTACCTGGTACTGAAGTTAGACTTGTCTGTAATTACCAGGATCACCTCTGCAGCCCCTCCCCCATCTGCCCAAAAACCTTGTTTGTTGAATGATTTTTTTTCCCCGAGATTATATCTAGAGAACACCAAAGCTTGCTTTGTGTGTGATTGGTTTTTTTTGCATGATAGACTTTTCTCCTTTGAAAGAAATGGCTGTTGCATTGGTTTTTTTGCATGATAGACTTTTCTCCTGTGAAAGAAATGGCCGTTGCATTGGGGTGGGTGGGTGGGGGTGGGGGGGTGTGTGTGTGTGTGTGTGGTCATAATATTACCTTGTGAGCGGTGGAATTGTGCCAATAAGATAAATGTTCATGTGTAGCATTTGATATTTTCAAAGGTAGTTAAGATGGCTTATTTGCACTTTTAATTCATTACCTAAGTAAACCCTAAGTTTCTTGCTTGTGTGGGTTTTTTTAAGTTTTATGTTTAAGAATGTGTAGTGATCTGATTTGTGGGGTGGGTGTGTGTGTGTATGTATGTATGTATGTATGTATGTATGTATATATATGTATATGTGTGTGTGTGTGTATATATATATATATATATTAAAAAAAAAATAAAAGTGTGTGTGTGGGGGGGAAATCACTTAATTATTTTACATAGAAAGTCCTGGACTCAATATAACATGTACAGATACCTTTATTACTAGAAGATTTTGTATTTTCTCCAAGAACAGAATATAAATTGTTTAAATGTTTGTTTGAAACAAAGGGATGAGGTTTACATAACATTACCTGTGTTTTACATTTGGTCTATATCAACTATGGATAATACAACACAGATACAGGCAGAGGAAACATCTTTGTAGTACAGGCAGCATGTTTTCCTATATTTTCTTATTTCGCAAATAAACAAAGACCCTGATTCTGACTGGGGCTTCTTGGTGCTATTGCAATAGCCATTGTAATTTTAAAATACTAATAAAATAACAAATTATCTTAAGTACTTAATGTCATTCTTAATTTCACCCCTCATTCATATTTCCATTACTCACTGTTTTGATTCATCTATCTTCAGTTAAGATACCAAGGTTTCTAGACTATTTTAAGTATATGTTGTATTGTTATCCATATATTGCAAAAGCTATGTCTAGCTGTAAATAGCTGACAGCTCTTATTTTATAAACCAGAGGGCGGGGAAGTCTGAATTTTAGGATGACAGTGCAGCATAGTTATGCTGCGTTAAAATATCACTCTGAAACAATGTTTCCCTGTCAAAATGCCTTCTTCATAATCCTTAATTCCAAAATAAATCCCAATTTGTGACTATTCAGTGCAAATTCAGAAATGTTGAGGCATTTAAAAAATTCCAAAAAACTCAGGACACCAGAAAGGAGTCAGGAAACTTTTCATACAATATCTGCACCAATTGAAGATCGAAGTGATCATTTATTGGAAGCCACAAAACTTGCTTCGATTTTGTGATTGAAAGCAGACCCGTTACATTTTATTTTTAATGGCTTCTGATTAATTCTGTCTTGCTGTTTTAGAGGGAGTTCTGGAAAGACTACACAAATGGACTCCATGGAGAAAGTAACACAGGAGATAATTGGTATTCATTTTACCTTGCATTTCCATTAATCATCGGCCTTTTTGTTATCCTCATTATCATCTTTCTTACATGGAGATGTCTGTTTAAAAAGAAAATCCGTAGACAGTCTGTGTACATGCATAGGGGAGCCCGCGAAGCCGTTGGTGATAGTGCTGTTGCTGATGGTAGAAGTGCTCTTCCCCAGCCTCTCAGCATTGTTCATTCCCCACAGGAAGAAATGTATGAAGGCAGTGGGCTGTCTCCAGGATATTTGGGATCTCCTGATGGACGTTCAGACACAATATCAGCCAGGCTATCAAATGGTGACCCTCCTCCTTCATATGAAGAAGCCACTGCTGAAACCAGCATAAGAAATGAAACGGAACACCATTTAGATCCACCCCCACAGTATGAAGACATCATAAATTCCAGCTCAACTAGGGCCATTGTAATGCCTCCTGTTGTTACCAGTATTAAGTAAAGCAGGAAGAATAGCAGCAACTTTTAAAAATTACTAAGAAGAGAACTTTGTAGCACTTTAATGCAGCTTACTACCATTTGTATAATTTAATGGACTCATACTGTATATTATTTCCCTGCTCCCTCTGTGTGTGCATGTTCCCATGTCAATTTTAAAGGTGGGGAATCCATACTGAGCATGGAGCAGATAAAAATGCAATTGTCCGTGCATACCTGTCAAATGTCCCTCCATTTTGAGGGTTGCAATTCATTTTAGCCTGAATATTGCCTGTGTTCCACACTAATCTGTCGTCACTTCCCTTTTAGTGTGGAAAATTATTTACTTTAGAATCAAACACTGGTGATGGAACGTTATTTAAACCAAAGGGTCATGGCCTACGTAATTTTAAGTTTCTTACATGAATATTTTCGTCTTTCATTCTGGCTCTGTCACACATTTTATCCTACCCTTGGGCCTTGGAAGACAGAGAAAATATTTATGTGTGTGAACAATATAGCCTATTCACTTAACTTAAATAGGATATTTATGGGGTTGCAATAGGATATTTACAGGGTTGCAATAAGTGAGATTAAAAGTTTGGAACACATCAGCTGTACTTATGCAGAAGGCAGTATAAGACACTGCTCCTTGCTGCAGCCAACCTATTACAGGGAAGGAGTTCTGGGGCTTGCCCAGATGTGGCCACCCTTTCCTCCTAAATGCACCCCATGCAGGGAAGCGGCTGGGGGTGATTCTCTTCCTTCCCACTCCTGGAAGGTATTTTCCTCCCTTCCCTCCAGTCCTGCATGCTTCCTTAACCACTCTGCCAAAGGCGAGCCAGCCTACTCAGGAAAGGGGGGAGGGGAAGGGGAGGAGCTGGCCCTGTGGTGGTTTCCCCTTAGTTCCAAAAGGTGCCCCATGCAGGGAAGGGGATCAGGGGCTTCCCTTCCCTCCCCCTCTGGGAATGGATCCCTTCCCTCCCTCCCCTCTCCTCTCATTCTGCTCCTGGCAAAAGCAGTTTTGCTGTCCGCTTCCTGAGCCTGGGAAGAACCTGGCTGACATGCCACAGGGCTCCAGCATGTGGAGCTTCTCCCTCAGGCCAGATCTCCTGTGCGGCCTCTCCCATATGCAGGAGAGGAACCGGAAGTATCTGGCCAAGCAGCAGGGGAGGCTGGGGAAGTTTAAGTGGCCCCAAGGACACCCCACCTCCTCCCCTGCCACACACGGCAGGGGAAAAATGTCCCTGCCGGCCTTCTGTCCCAGAAACAGAAAATACTGGACATTTTGCATGTACGGTATTTTCTGGGTTTTTTTAAACCAGACAGATACAATTACCGGACTGTCTGGGTGAAAACCAGACACCTGGCAACCCTAGACCTGACTGGTCCCAAATGAGGGAGTTTGCCAATCCAGGAATGGTTAATTCTGGCCTCTCTGCTGGCAGCTTCCTATCTTTCCCCAGGGGCTCCCCTCACAGCTGCTGGACCTGGCCACTGAGCTCCGCTGCCAGTGCTGGCCGGGCTCCCAGCTATTGCACTGGCTTTGCTCCCAGACCCTTGGCTGAGCTCCTGCTCTGTTCCTGGCCCCTCCAACCAGCTTATGGGCTGATTGGGGGGCAGCCATCAGCCAAACTCCTGCTCTGATCCTGCCTTTCCCCTCCCTCCAAGCTGCAGGACTGGCTCTGTTCCTGGTCCCTTGACCCGAATCCTGCTTTGGTCCTGCCCAGCCCCTCCCCCCTTCAGGCCGCTGGCCCTTTGCCCATAGGACCGATTCTGCTCCCAACCCTGTAGCTGGGCTCTGAGCCACGGCCCACGAGACCAGCTCTGCTCCTGATGGGCTGCCAGCCACCACTCCCAACTGCCCCCCTTCCTAGGCACTGAGGCTCTTTGGTCCAACAACATCAGTGTGTCCCAGACCAGGCAGGTGCATCCTGGAGACAGACAGCTCCAGAGATAATTCTTTGCACTGCACTAGAGTTAAAGCACTCCCTCTGGCTACACAGTACCAAGTCTATGTGCCGCATCACTGACAAAATCACCTGGGGGAGGAGTGGACATAGTTTACTCTTCATGCCAACACAAATAGTGGTCTCTTCTGAGCCTGCCAACAGGCTGCCAATTGCCATGGTGTCTTTTTTTAATTACTGTTTATGTGGATTTCTTTCACCTAGGAAATGTGTGCGGCTCAGTCATTTCACATACAGGCCATTACATGGTTGTCAAATAATTTCTGGTCATGTCCAGTCTGCCCTGGATTCGTGCCAATGACTGAAAGTTGTAATGCTCAATATTCCACTACCAGTCTCTTGAACCAACTCAACCCCTGTTTTAAATTGTGTTCCTCAATTAAAATGTGTTGCTACAGTGTGCAGATACTATTTGCAATAAAGAAATAATGCTTGTTTTTTTTAAATAGAAAGATCAAATATTCATGCTAATCCATTATAACTTGCAGAACTATGCTGTTCTTCGAAGACTCTACACAAGCACAATTTTAAATTCACTGGCCAAAAGTCTGCAAACTTGGTTTACATGGCTAAACAAAAGCCTTTGCTTAAAACCCTTATTAAAAATAGTCTTTCCTCTACTAAGACAATAAGTGCTCTTTCTCATATGCTGGAATGATTCCAAATTACAAAAAATATTTTTTTAGCTTTAAAAGTTTTAAGGGTTCTATTAAATGTAACAAGTTAAAGAACTTATGCTTGGCCTTTCTGATCTTATTAAAATGACATTTTGTCTTGTGGTTTATATAAAGCTTTATTTTTTCAAAATATAGCTTCTACATTTTCTTCTATTGTAATTGCATTGACCCGCAATAAATGTGACAGTAAGATTTACAGCCTTACCTCTCTGAATCTTTTACTAGTAAGAACATGTCTTGATTGACTACCAGAAAATTCAGGGTGTTGCACTCCCTTGCTTTGAATGTAACACGGAGAGGTGAATCTTGTACGGAACTAAAATTGTTTACTAATGACCAACATGGAGATGGGTGACTTTTTAAATAAATTATGGAAATCAGATTAGTTTAATTTTGGACACCTGTGGGGCGGTAGTTCCATCTTCTCTGTGTGTAAATAGCCTATTTGATTGCAGTATTAAATCTTTTTTTAAGATCTGGTTTACATTAAATTATGGTATTTAAATATTTTGCTTGTTTATAGAATTTTTTTTAATGTTTGGGTTTTGGCATGCTAAATAAAGCTATTGAAATTTTCCAATGTCTCTGTCAGTTTTATGAGTTAGAATAAAAGTAACATGATTTCTATAACAGAGGTGTTGTATTAACTTCTGCTGTCTCATCTTGATGGAAAATATTTTCTCAAGTTTTAAGCTGATTAATTTTAAAACAGAAGTAGTACCACTACTAAGTTGTAGCTTTAAAATTAATATAAATGTATTTGTGAAATATGAAAGCATACAGTATCTTATAACGGGCCAGCTGGAGGACAATATTCAGAGAGAATGGAGACTTTTTTGGTGGCATATTTAAGGGGACAAAGCATTACAGAGAATTTAAGCATTAATTCCACAACAGTCTGTTCAGCTACACTGTTTTTGTATAATGTAGAAGAAAGTGTCTTGGACCAAAAAACAGTGCAGGTTAAAAGAAAATGGTTGCCGTGCCTACCCTGCTGAGGCAGAATTTTGTATTGGTAGCAGGCAATAGATCCAGTACAATGAAAGTCCTGCAGCTGTACAGAATGCCCTTACTGTATTCCCTAGAAACCAAAGGAATCTTATTTCTAAAAAAGAAAACAATGTCTTATAATGGATGTATGAGACCTGTTCTGCTGTTGCTAAAGAGACAATCTTATCTCCCAGATATTTCATACTATCTATCTAGGAAACTATCTGAACCCCCGAGAGACCTCAAAACTTGGTAAAACTACATCAACCCACATTACAGACTTGAAGCATATGGACCTGACAAAGGTGCAAACCAGTAGGTCATGAATCTACAAAGAATGTGAGAGTGACTCTATGAATGTGGGTCAATTACTAATTTTAACACTTTCTTCCCTATGAACACTATTTGGCACAGCTCAAAGCAATGGCTTCAGAACAGAAGGATGGAAAAAGTTGGATATGATCAAGTTGTTGGGCATGTGTGTCAAAATTCCTCAGTAACTTAGATTCTAGAAGGGAGAATTCTTTGGTCATGTTTCTGTATCTATTTCAGAGGAGGAAGTGTTATGTTCTTCAATCCTTTACATATTTAAAGCAAGTAATATTGACTTATTCTTGATCCTGTGGACATTCAATAGGGTTTTGGGGGGAGAGAGCATTTTTGTTTAAATGTCTGCAACTGAGCAGTTTTATAACTACTTTATACAAATTCACTTCAGCTATGTTGCATGCATAGTACTAGTTAAACATTTGGCCATTGCTGTACAGTTGACTTATTGGAATTGAGACCCTAACAGAGGGATAGGCAATAATTTTAGATGGGGCCACTTCACTAATTTAACTGGTCCCAAGCCTCCCCAGGAGGGGCAAGGCCAGGACACGTCTATGCTTCCCTGCCCATGGGCCCTGAGTGGCCTGGGGGTGGGGGAACACATGAAGTCTTCCCCACCTAGAGAGAACTGCCAGCTAAACAGCTGGCAGTTCCCTCTAGGCACCTGCGCCCTTGGTGGCAGGAGGAGACTTTGTGTGTTCTCCCCACCCCCAGGTCAGTGAAGGTGGGGGATCATGGGAAATCACTCAGTTCCTGCCCCCACCAGGCAAGAAGCATGTGGCACTTAAGTGCCATGTGCTCGTGGCACACGAGGAGGAGCTTGGCAATGCAAATCTCTGTCACTCACACTGTGTGTGTGTCATTCTCGCAAACACACACTGTGTCGTTCACATTCCTCTCCTAACCCAACACATACAGGGAGGGGTTGTTACTACTTTTACTGCTTGCAGAGTGGGTTATTTTTGGTTTTTGACTGTCCCTGCCCTGAACTTTCTCCTACACCCAATCATAAGAACATAGGAACGGCGGTACTGGGTCAGACCAAAGGTCCATCTAGCCCCCTATCCTGTCTGCCGACAGTGGCCAGCACCAGGTGCCCCAGAGAGGGTGGACTGAAGACAATGATCAAGCAATTTGTCTCCTGCGATCCTCCCCCAGCCTCTGACAGACAGAGGCCAAGGACACCATTTTATCCCCTGGCTAATAGCCTTTTATGGACCTAACCTCCATAAAATTATCTAGCTTCTCTTTAAACTCTATTATAGGCCTAGCCTTCACAGCCTCCTCTGGCAAGGAGTTCCACAGGTTGACTACACACTGTGTGAAGAACTTTCTTTTATTAGTTTTAAACCTGCTCCCCATTAATTTCATTTGGTGTCCTCTAGTTCTTCTATTTAGGGAACTAATAAATAACTTTTCTTTATTGGACCTCTCCACACCACTCATGATTTTATGTACCTCTATCATATCCCCCCTCAGTCTCCTCTTTTCTAAACTGAAAAGTCCCAGTCTCTTTAACCTCTCCTCATATGGGACCCGTTCCAAACCCCTAATCATTTTAGTTGCCCTTTTCTGAACCCTTTCCAAGGCCAAAATATCTTTTTGGAGGTGAGGAGACCACATCTGTACACAGTATTCAAGATGTGGGCGTACCATAGTTTTATACAGGGGCAGTAAGATATTCTGGGGCTTATTTTCTATCCCTTTCCTAATAATTCCTAACATCCTATTTGCCTTTTTGACCACCGCTGCACACTGTGTGGAAGTTTTCAGAGAACTGTCCGCAATAACTCCAAGATCTCTTTCCTGATTTGTCGTAGCCAAATTAGCCCCCATCATACTGTACGTATAGTTGGGGTTATTTTTCCCAATGTGCATTACTTTACACTTATCCACATTAAATTTCATTTGCCATTTTGTTGCCCAATCACTCAGTTTGGTGAGATCTTCTTGGAGTCCCTCACAGTCTGCTTCTGTCTTGACTATCCTAAACAGTTTTGTATCATCTGCAAATTTTACTACCTCACTGCTTACCCCTTTCTCCAGATCATTTATGAATAAGTTGAAAAGGATTGGTCCCAGGACTGAGCCTTGGGGTACACCACTAGTTACCCCTCTCCAATCTGAAAATTTACCATTTATTCCTACCCTTTGTTTCCTGTCTTTTAACCAGTTCTCAATCCAAGAAAGAACCTTCCTTCTTATCCCATGGCCATGTAATTTACACAAGAGCCTTTGGTGGGGGACCTTGTCAAAGGCTTTCTGAAAATCCAAGTATACTATATCTACTGGATCCCCCTTGTCCGCATGTTTGTTAACCCCTTCAAAGAACTCTAACAGATTAGTAAGACAGGATTTCCCTTTACAGAAACCATGTTGACTTTTGTCCAACAAATTATGTTCTTCTACATGCTTCACTATTTTATTCTTTCCTATTGTTTCGACTAATTTGCCCGGTACTGAAGTTAGACTTACCGGTCTGTAATAGCCAGGATCGCCTCTACAGCCCTTTTTAAATATTGGTGTCACGTTGGCTACCTTCCAGTCATTAGTTACGGAAGCCGATTTAAAGGATAGGTTACAAACCATAGATAATAGCTCAGCAATTTCCCATTTGAGTTCTTTTAGAACCCTTGGATGAATGCCATCCGGTCCCAGAGATTTGTTAACATTAAGTTTTTCTATTTGTTCCAAAACCTCCTCTAATGACACTTCAATCCGGGACAGTTCCTCAGATTCATCACCCACAAATCTCCTGCCCCCAAATGTGAGTCCCCCTGCACCCAAACTCCTTCATAGGACTTGCACCCTGAAGCCCCTCCCAGACTCCAGTGCCCCTCCCTGGGCTAAGCCTGGAGCCCCTCCCAAACTCCTTGACTCAAGAGCAGAGTCTGAACCCCAACCCCTCCCCCAGCCTAGGGATGTTAAGTTTAATTTAATCGACTAGTCAATTAGTTGATAAGTGGGGAGCCACAGTGGGATTTGCTCCCACCTGGGAATTCACCCCACTGCAGCTCTGCCTTTTAAACATCAGCTTTTAATACATTTAAAAAGCAAAGGCGTGTCCCTTTTAAGCTGGCTCCCCCCTGCACAGGCCTCTGATAGAGGCAGCAGGGGGAGTGGAGAAAGCAACTACAGGCAGTCCCCGGGTTACGTACAAGATAGGGACTGTAGGTTTGTTCTTAAGTTGAATTTGTATGTAAGTCGGAACTGGTACATATTGTAGGGGAAACTCTAGCCAAACATTTCTCCAGAGCTCAGTTTTATTCTCCCACACCTCACTTCCCTCAGGGTATTATTCTCAAGCTGAGGTGTCTGCTGAGAGAAGCCACTCCGCGTCTCCCTGGTCTGCTGGGGGGAAGCAGCTAGTGCGGGGTTGCCTCACCCCGTTTGTAAGTAGGGATCTGATGTAAGTCGGATCCATGTAACCCGGGGACTGCCTGTAGTTGACTAATCCCTCGACTGTCTGATAAACAAAAGCTTATTGGCTAGTCGACTAGTTGCTTACATCCCTACCCCAGCCTGGTGAAAGTGAGTGAGGAAGGGGGATGGAGTGAGCAGGGTGAGGCCTCAGAGAAGGGGTGGAGCAGGGGCAGGGCCTCAAAGAGCGAAAAGGAAATGGGGCAAGGGTATTTGGGTCTGAGGTAGATCTTACATTGCACTTAAATTGAAACAGTGATCTTGTGGTTAAAAAGGTTGGAGACCACTGCCCCACAGTGCACTGTGGGCCTATTCCTAGTGCTCTTCCCTGGCAAGATGCACAAACGATGCTGCTGAGAGAAGTGATTGGTCTGAAGGCAGCCATACCAAGAACCTCCAGCTGTGCCTTTGGGGAAACTTTCTGGTTGCTTTATACTGCCTGAGCAGCATGCAACTGCTGGAGGGAAGGGTGAAGATCTGGTTTTGATTACATGCCATGGGAATTTTAGTGTTTTGGTGACATCTCAGGCTCCCTCTATTTTTCCAAAACTTTAAAAATAAATACAATCAGAAAGGCAAGTGCTCTCACTATACAAAGCCTTACCACTTAGGCTGCATCTACCCTACCAGCATTTACAGCAGCACAGCTATACCCCTGCAGCTACACCACTGTAAAGTCTCCTTTGTAGCTGCTCTGTGCCAATGGCAGAGAGCTTTCCTGCCAACATAATACACCCCTCCCTTGCCCAGTGAGCAGTGGTAGCAGCATCAGCAGCAGAGTGTCTCGCACCAGTAGTGCTGTGCACTGGCACTTTTGTCAGTAAAACTTATGGCGGTTGGGGGGGG